GCCTCCGCCGCTTTACTCGAAAACACAAACCGACAACAACCAACCAACACGAACCAAGAAGAGGTGCCTTTCTCTGGTGGGTGCTACGAATCCCGAAAGCCGATCAGAAAAAGCTACAAAAGCTCGCATCTCAACTTTTGCCAGGCTAGTACTGTGGGTACTCCTAGTGAGTCCCGCCACTTGGGCTAAAGAGCTGTGGCAGCTCAATTCCAAAACTCTGGGCGGAGCGCCTCTAGTTCCGTAGGAACTCTGGGGCGTGCATTCGCCTCATCCCACCTCAGCAGATCCTCAGGCTGGACCCGGTGCCTCAATAGACGCCGTGGCTCCTGCTTCGGGAGAATCACCGGGTGGAGCGTTTCGACATGCAGGGAGAGGTCGATCAAGGGCGGAACGCCTTCATTTGCAGCACGCAGCCTAGACAGTAGCTGAGCACCTGGTCCGACATGAGCAGGTGTTGAAACACGGACCAGGGGACCACCAGACGCGGGGTGACGGTGTCCACCTTTCTGAGGGTGAACCAAAGAGCTTCACCATTTGGCGCCACTATGGCCAGGGGTGCCGTGCTCTTTGCTGGAGCTGGCCTGGCCTTTTTTGGTGGTGCGGGTGGTGACGCCTTTGGTCCTTTCTCCTGCGGTCCCGTTTCTGCGAAGAAGCCCGGGTAGTAGGACTGGGGTGTCGCCGAAGTGGAACCTCCGCCGGGAGCTGCTTAGTAGAAGTTATCCTCAACGGGGTCATCTTGAGGGGGCGTCCCAATGTCGAAGTACTCCGGGTTGGCCCCTGTTGGTGCTGGAGGCTTGGGTCCTGGCGTAGGCTCTTCCTCCGGAGCAGGAGCATCATCGCCTGGAGCCTCGTCACCATCGCCGCCATTGTCTGGGCCTTCGGGCTTTTCGGGCGGTGACGTCCAACCAACCAAGGGCCAGTAGTGCCCAAAGCACCACAGTCCAAGCTTGTCGGTCAGGTACAGGAACCTTTCGCCCTAAGTTCGGAGGGATCCGATCTCTTCGGGGGTCGAGAAGACGACAAAGGCATTCCACCCAAAGAGAAAGCGGAAACTCCACTCGCCCCACCACACTGAAGCCGACCCCATTTTTGATGGGCCTGCAGGAGGGGAGGGCGGATCGCCACTTTCATCCGCGGGAGGTAGCTCCGTCTGGTTCCCCGAGGACAATCCCCAATTCGTCCACCCAACCAGGGCTCGCGGCTACCAAGCAGCAGCCAACGACACGGGCGAGCGAGTGAGGACCCATTATGGCAAAGTCCCTGATACCAAACACAGAGGAGCTGAAAGCTTGAGCCAACCATTCGATCAGCTCACTCACAGAACTCTATGTTATGCCTAACCAGCAACATTCATTTCTCTGTAGCCTATGACCGTCTATGGCCATATGTGGTCCCCATATATGGTCCCCCCACAAGGTCAAGGACCACCCTCTGTGCTGTGGGCGGGGGTCGGGCGGGTTTTCGTTTAGGTTTTTTGGAGTCTCCTTTCGTTTCGGGGTTTCGGCTATCCTGCTGTCTCGTTTTCCGTTGTCTTTGATGTGGGTCGATTGATTTGTGCCTGTTTGTGGCAGCACGGGAAGTGCAGATGGGTGCGCCAGCTGATGGTTGCAGGTGCCGGGTTCCGATCATAAGCGGGCTCTCGCGCTCTATGCGAGGCGAGGCGAGCTGAGTGGACAGGCGTTCTAGAACAGATTTGAGGATGAGCGGAGCTTTTTTTCGGCCGCACGTATCCTCTTAAGCTTTCGTAGTGGCAGGTAGTTCCGATGGGTCGTCCTGCGTCACCTGTCCATCTTGTGATCGGTCTTCTCGCTAGCTGGCTTGTAAGATACACTACGAAAGATTTTCTGTGTCAGTCTTCAGGTCAGCATGAGATTTGCTTGTGATCCTTGCATGTGCTGGACTGAGCTGCGCGACTCCGCAGGGACATTGGCCTCTGCAGACAGAAGGGGCCTTTGGTTACCTTGCTATTGCTGTAGGCCCTTTTGGTAGCCTCCAAAAGCATCCGCTAGGCTTCGGCCTTTGCATGGCAGCGGAGCGACTGGCTCCTGCCTCTTTGCGGTGCTCTGACCCCTGGTGCGCTGAGCTGCCGTGGCCTTCTGCCTGTGCAACACGTCTTAGGACAGCCTCGGCTACACGATTCGGCGCAAGTACACGGGCCAAGCAGGATAGTGATTGAACCGGCGCGGCCAGTGTTTTTTTCTTTCTCCAGTGGGGCACGACTCTTCCTTTGGGATCTTGGCTGTGATCTTCACCTCTTTTGCTGCTGCAAGCTTCTGCTCGGTACCTACTACAAGCATCTGATTGATACCTACTACAAGCTTCTCCAAACTTCTGCTCGAGACCTACTACACAAGGGCCAGGACAGGACATCCGTGTGCGTCGTTGCTGCTGGGGGATTTGTGCAGACATATCTTCAAGCATTTATAGTTCTGAAGCACCGTCGTGGGATGGCAACCCCCAAACCTACGACACCTTTGAGACGGCGTGCAAGTGGTATGCCTTGACCTTGAGGGATTCAGATCGGAAGGGGGCTGCGGCTCGTGTGTGGTGCTCCTGAGGGCACTTGATTCTCCTGAACCCACTGAATGACATATGATTCTTGATCGAAGCGAATGCCATCAGGTGTTTGCTGGATGCGGCACCCTGCAAAGTCGAGTCAAAGGTTCCTTGATCCCACTTGCCAAACTTGAAGGTGTTCTGTAGTGACTGCTTTGCCTTCTCGTAGACGGCGTTTCCTTGCTTGCCTGCAATCAGAAAATCATCAACATGCATGCCAGAAATGCCGACCAATTCACCTGTTTCAGGATCATACAGTGTACAATTCAATAGTGTACACAAACATCTGTCACAAGGTTGATTGCCTCCAGCCATCTCGCAGCAGGCACGCCGCCACAGCCAAACCGTAGAAGGCCTTGGTCAGCTTGAGCACTGTGCCCTCTTCAGGCGGTGCCCCAAAAGCTGCTGCCAGCTCTGCTGGTGCCCACACAAGTATATCCTCATGGTCCGAATCACCAATAGTTGGAAGAAAGGTCTCCACCGCCCTCATGAAAGAAGTCCTGCGGCTGCAAATGCTTCACAACCGACCCGGCTGGTCCTTGCAGCTTGAGCAATCTGAAGGCTCGATGGACGTCGCACCGGATCGGGACGTGTTTGTAGAAACCAATTCGTTGAGCAGCGATGATTTGAGAAGGCTCAGAGTGCTGCCGGTGAATGCGGCGATGCCTGCTGGACATAAGGCTGGATCTCTGTACCGACTTCCGGCTTTCGGTGCGGGGGAAGTCGACGGCTTAAAGGCTCAGGCTGCCCGGAGAATGGTGCAGGTTGGCGTGCCTGGTGCAGCCTTCCCGGCGGCGCGCAGGGGTAGCAGCGGCTGTGCCCGGCAGCGGGTTTCAATTGAATACGTAGATCGAGTTGAAGGAGTGGCTGCCGCAGCAGTCGAAGGAAGCAGGTCCATCCACACCATGGCCGGCGGTGAAACCTTGTTCGCGATGTACGTGAAGACTTCTTCGCTCGCCTTGGTGGATGGGACAGGCGGACCTCAAGGAGGCGGTGGCCGTGCGCAAGGAGAAGCCAACGTGTTGGGTGCTGGGCGGGTCCGATCTCGCTCGTGATCCTCACTATCCACATGATTCAACAGTAGCCTTTCGTGCCAAAGCCCGGGTGGGGCATCATACAGAAGGAGAACGGCGAGTTGTTGATGTGCCAACTGCCTGGTTTCGCTGGGGTTCGAACGACTCGGACTCTGAGCCTACCTCCTCCTCCGCTGAAATTCCACGAGCACGTCGGGAACATGAAGCCACCAACCCCCAAACAACCCAGTTCGCGATGGAAGTAAGCCACGAGCCAATGCTCAATCGATCTGAGTCCGTGCAACGACGATAGGTTCCTCGTCATCGTGTCATGCACGCCGCGAGAATCTGTGACCAAACAGCCTTCAGTATTCACTATTGTCACGAACCTGCTGCTCGATTGTTCCTCGGGCTAGGACGCCTTGGATCTCGTGCCACAGCGTTCGAAGGAGGGAATACAATGTCTTCTCCGGCAGTGATTGCTTGTACTTCGCTACGGTTGCTGCCCAGGCTGTCTCGCGGTGCTTTAGACGATCGCCAAGTCACAAGAGCAACGCTTTCCTCAGAACCATCAAGTATTTCTCGAGGGGAGTATCCCACCACACAGCCTATGGTCGAAGACTTGGTGGGGCGGTTCCCTTGTGAAGCGTCGCTCCAGACAATCGTCGCGATTTCCTTCCATGGTCGACCCCGTGCAGGAAACCAAATTGACTGTGCTGCGTCTTGGCGCGCCTCACGAATCAGCTTGTTCACGTCAAGCAGAGTCTTGACAGTCGCGTATGGAATCGACGATAAAAGCAATGACACTTCAGACTGATGATGTGGAGCTGACTGTGAAGCATTCCAGGCACGGACCGCTATAAGTGGTGCCTGCGAAATTTCATCGTGGAGGGTTTAAGCCCTGACGGGCATCACAAGCGGGCGAGCCAACTGTGCAAGGTTGACTCCACTGCGAAGGGCATACGGGAGCACTGGCAACTTTCGAATGTGGTGCGACGCGCCTTGCAGATGGATCAGCTGAGTGGGTGCAATCTGCTTTGCGAAGTGATTTTTCGCCGGCTGCAAGCCATAGAACCATAGAATTCGCATACGCCCTGAGAAGGTTAAAGAAACCGAGAGTCACGCCGCTTTCCTTGGAGGAGCAACAAACATTCGGAGAAATGACCAGACTGGCTTCGACTTTGATGATCGGCCCGCCGCAACTTCTTGGGCACGTGAAGGAGGTGGAGCGGGACGCAAGCTTGGCTAAGAACCTCCGCAAGGCCCGCGAAGAAAGAGACCTAGCCCGCCGAAACGCCAAGAAGGGCGGGAAGGCGGGAGATGATGTTCCCTTTTCGTGCGGTGGACCGTGAATGGACTACCAAACTACCACAGGCCAGTACCGATGGCGGCGGCCTTGGCTTTACCGGTGGCCGAGGCGCCTGCAAGCTTTAATGCTGCGAAACACATCCTGAGGTCTTCTGAGATTTTTGGTCAGCGGCAGGTCTCGACGACGTATCTCGTGGCAGAGCCAAACAGTTCAATTTGCGGCGAGTTTGCAGAAAAGTCTGGGCCCGCTTCTGCACCGGAACTTCCTTTGTCCGGAGAGTGGAATCCGAGCGAAAACCCCTCGCATGGTGTGTGGGCACCGTCGAGACCAAAGCAGACGGAGGCGGAGCATAAGTCGGTGGAGGGACAAATTGTGCTGGAGGCCTCAGTGTCGAAGGCGTGTCAATAGAGACACCACCGCCATTGGATGGAGGTTCACCTCGTGTCGACAGCCTCGGGTGAGCCCTGCGAAACGAGGACCATGGATGCCAACCTCACCAGGCATCTAGAAGAGATCTACACGGACGGGAGGACTTGTCGACGGCCCACTATGTCATAGCAGGAGAGCACCTGCCACAAGCAACCTCCTGCGAGCGGTTGGCAAAAACTATTCCCACAGCGCAGCCGTTTGCCCATCCCGAACAGATTTGACGATGAGCGGAAGGTTTTGTTCGGCCGCACGTATCCTCTCAAGCTTCACCCTCCCAGGTGCCACCCTTTGGGGCGGTTTTTGCTGCACAAACTTGCCGAGCAGTTGTTGCGCCTGGACGGACCTTTTCAGGCTCCGCATCAGCTTTGTACTCTTGTTCTGGCCGTGACAAAGAAGTGAGCGAAGGATCCTGACAATGATCCTGACAACGAGGAATTACGTCAAATCATGCCACCTACTTTTTGAGGTAAGTCACAACACCGTCGTGTGTTTGGTAACGAACCGTTTAGACGTGCAAGAATTGAACTGGTTTGAAGGCATTTGTGCTTTTCAGCCGAATACCCAACAATATCCTAACAATCGAAGTTTCACGAAGTCAAGCATCGGTTTCATCAAAAGTCGATGCCGAGGAATTCGTGCATGTTGTGTTGATCCGCTTATGCCGTTTTTTAAGTTGCAGTTCTCGTTCAAGCTTGCAACAGATGTACATTGTCATGAAGCTTATCGAAAGGGCAAGCAGTTTTGTGCCGAACGTGCTCAATGTATTTATTGAGACAATTGCAGTTACCAGAAATCCGTTTACAGTGTCCTTTTTGAACAATGAGCTCAACAGCCACATCAGCTACCCGAATTTTTCATGGACACCAATGCGATCACGGCCGTCATCACACGGGTTGCTACACAAACCTTAACACCCACCGCAACGATTACGTAGTTCTTGGGTTAGCAGCAATGACCAGATCATCGGAAAGCGCCGGTTGTTGTGTTGTTTTGTGGTTGCTTACCCGCAAAGCCTCGGACCAGAAGGCCATGCCCAAAGCGTCGCTCGTGTGTCAAACGCGTAAGGGTGGGGTCACATCTGCACGTTTTTCATACACACACACCTGGCGTGGTGGGGTGGGATCGGGTGGAGTGGGTGGGTGTTTGAGATGACAGCAAGGAAACAAATCCTGCAGTTCTGCAAACGGCAAAGCCGTGGCATGCGAATCCAAGGCACAATGATTTCCAAGCTGTCATTGATGCCCACGACTTCACCATGATCAACTTCTATGCCGACTGGTGGCGCAAGTGCATTAGACTGTTTCTCGGCTCTCCGGCGAGAGCCCTGAAAAGGTGCAGCCACTGCCGGAATTTCGCTCCGACATGGTTCGATTTCGAGAAATCCGTGAATGAGCAGGCAACTCAGAGTTCCTTCACAGCTGCTATGCCTGAAAAGCTGGAGCCAAGGCACAAAGTCACAGCCAATGATGCTGACGGCCAACCGGCGAGCGTTCGTCCTTTGTCTCCATTCTTCTGTGGGTACCGTTGAAAGTTCCAGCCTGCCAAAGTCTGACTGAGACCTCCTGCGGCTGAATTGTGTGGATTTCCAGGCCAGGAAAGATAACACGTGCGAACTTGCTACCCGCATATCGGCTGACCCTGTTGGGCAGGACACGTGCAAGGAGCAGATGATTCGTGGTTTTCCGGCGGTCCGCTTGTGTCTTTGCTTTGTATGGCCAAAGTGTCCTGATGCACACAGTCTAACGTCTTACAAAGGTACCGCAGGGGTGCCAAGAAAGGTGAGTTTGACGAGTCGGCTGCTGACATTGCTTGAGCACTGGGAGATGACGTGCGACGTTTCCAGACCCTGGTGCAGAGGTACATCGGCGAGCGCAATGCAGATGGGATGACTAGTCCCACAGCTCAGTTCAAGCCGATGTGGTGCAAAGGCATGACGTTTGGGGTCAAGGATGGATGCAGTCGATCGTTGCAAAACGTCACCTTCACACCGGTGCCACGTGCGCTCCAGCACCCTTCTTGACTCTTGACTGCGCATGCAGAGACTGAACATGACGCCGGCAAGGTATCACAGCATCTTTTCCGAGGGCTGTCGTGTCGCTGGATCCGTGAACGTGGCAACTTGGAGTGCAAGCATATTTTAATTGGGTCCTTCAAAGGAGTAGAAGGAGAGACATGCACGCGAGATGCCGCTGCTGCCGGCTGCATTTCCCTCCTCTCACTGAGCAGGCGCGGGTTCCTGGCACCGTCCACTTCCAGGCGCGGTCGCGGCGCGGCTTAGGTGGCCAGGGCGCCTTGTGGCTTGCGGGCCTTACGGGCAGGTAGGGCAATCGAAGGAGCGGGACATCAATCCCGCCTTCACGAACGCCTCTTGGCCCTTAGCCGTAGCACTTCCCCCGAAGAATCTTCTCGTGTGCCTCGAGGTGTCACACACCGTGCATCACTTCAGTTTCGGAGAGGTGCGGCTTGCATTTGCCCTGTAGGCAGATCCATGGCAGACCATAGCAGAGTTGCGAAGGCCCCTCGAGGATTGAAGGCATCCTTGCCTTCGCAGCACCTCGTCTTTAGCTAGCGGGCTGCGATCATCGACTGTTTGAAATTCGGGTGTGGCCTGATACAAGGTACCGATCACATGTCAATCCGCTCGACGGACAGACCTTCGTGGTGGTTCCATCCTCATTCGTCCCTTCACAGAATTCCAACCCTGATGCCAGCAGTCTGAGGACAAATTTCACAAGGCCCCGAGTCATTTCATCAAGGCCGCTGCTGGCTTGCTTTATTTTGAAAGCAACATCCATGTCTGAAGAGGTGGTGCACACACGGTTCGAAGACTCGGACCTTCGCAGCTACCAACAGACCCACCAGTGGCAGCAGTCATAGCATCTGTTCTCGCGCAGGGCAGCCCGATCGTGTTCACTTTCAAGACTTTGCAACCCACGAACCAGGGTGTATATCCGAATGTGGCGACAAGCTCCAGAGATGGCGTCTGCGGTGCAGTATAGTGCGGTGACTGAGGAGTGTGCGAACATTGCAGCGAGGAACAACTCCCCAGGCCGCGTGCCAGGCTTGGAGTACAGGGAAAAGAAAAGCATCGCTTTGCGTCCCAAGGCGAAGTTCTCCTTCGATCTCTCACCCGTGGAGGCAAAGCCACGCTTCATGACTTGTGCTGAACTTGCGCTGACTCAAAAACTCAAGCTGCAGGTGGTTATCGGTAAAGCCGACCGCAGATGGCCCATTGCACAGATGGGGGGGGCAATTTGCTGCGAACCGTGAGCTTGTTGTTTCCACGGTTCCAAACGACGCAAGCGAGAAGGTACGACTACATCACACAGATCTTCGCAATCACCGGTGGCGACTGGACCTCAGCGGAAGAACAACTGATGCTGGCTCTGAGACGGCAGATATGGTTTGAGTCCAGGCATTCACAGTGATGTCCCTTGCTGCCGGAGTCCTCAAAGCATCGAGCGTCCAAATAAAAAGTGAGCCCTGAGCGCCGCGACCGTTTCGCCACGCTTCGAATCGTTGCAGCTGGGCTTCGCAGGTATGCTGGACAAGGTCAGTTGACCTGCAGCTGCGGTGGAGGCAAGGAAACGGGACACATGCAAATTACCTTCGGAGATGGATGTTTCGGCCGTAGGGCCGCAGGAAGACAAGACTCTAGCAGAACAACGCAACATCAGGAGCATTTCGCAAGTGACTGAAAGGAAGGTGCCGCAGGGGCTTCGTGGAAGATGTGAGATCCATGTAGTGCAGAGATGCAGGATGCATTACATGTCAGAGTCAGCAGATTTCACACTTCGTGAATGATAATTTGAGTGATACATCGCCATTGCAATGCAGGTGTGGGGAGGTGAGAAGCTGCGGATCGATTCTCATGGTCGAAAATGAAAGCGCCGTGGGCTGTCGTGCTAAATTGCTCGTAGTGACTTGACAGGGTACCGGGTTTTCACAGGTTCCAAGTAGCTAAGCAATCGTCGGCAGCTCGCCAGCCTGGCATGTTCGGTGACTGAACACTTGCTCGTACAGCGCTGGTGAAATGCTAGTAAGCGCGGAGCCGCGCAAGGTGGCGGAGGAGGGAGGCGGCACCAAGCGCCCGCCGCGAGCCGCCTTCCCGGCAGAAGCGGGGCGACGGCACGCTCGAGCGTCGCAGAGGTTGAGGATGGTTGAGGGGTGCCCAGCGGGTCGAGGAGGCCTCGACAACGGTAGCGACTTCCGTGCGTGGAGCACGCGGAAATGCGACAGTTGCGTAGGCCGGGTGGGGTCGGCCTGCGAGAGCAGCAGCACTCGGAACGCCGGTTTGAGGTGAGAAAGGAGCATCTCAAACGCGCCCTCGTCAGAGTCCCCGTGCGCAAGGTGCGTGCGGCGCAGCAGGTGCAGCCCCGCCGCCCTTGGAAGCCAGCCTCGCGCACTCGTGTTTCGGCTGTGCAGGCGGTGGTGAGGGCTGGAAGCATTCCTGCGTTCGCTGCGTTTAGGCTAGCTCGTAGGTGTGCCGCGTCGGCGGAGAAACGCGGGACCTGAACAACAGGGAAAGTATCCAGCCACGAAGCCCAATTGAGCGGCAGGTGCGCCGGAGGCGGCGGAACGCAAGCCCAATCCCGCCAGGCGGAATCCGCGCAGTGGCGAGGGCATCATCCAGGCTCGAGCGCTTCCGCCTTCATGCTCGCAGGAGTATTCGGCCGTGCAGTGTGGGGTGGCATACCTAGGAGGCATATAGCGCGAGTTGACACGCGGAACAGCCTGCAAGTAGCCGAGGGCGGGATGCGCTCGAGGAAAACATCTTGGCTGCGGTACTGCGCAAGAGCCTCTGTCCCACCTCGTTTCGAAGCGCATTTCAAATGTCGGAAATCAGTCGCCGCGTTCGCCGAGTCCTATTGGGGTATCAATGTGGGGTGTCCATCATCGAAAACTGATTCGCTTCGTCTGCCTCATTTGTCGAGAGATCTGAGCTTGTACAATGAACGCATCGCTGATCTTCTCGTACCGGAAGTGCAACGTCGGATCGAGTATCATTGGCTTGAAGCTGTGAAGTCGGGAAAGTAAAAAAGTAGTTTGTGCTCTGACTCCATCAGCCGCTCTGCATCAAGTCCAACCATCGTTTGCAGGACAGGGACACAATCAGTTCAACACTTATACTGTTTATACAACTTGTTACAAATTGCGTAGGAACTTCAACATCTTGTCCTGACGACGGGTGAAGGCGCATCCTTTGTGGTCACTTCTGGCTCGGAGCATGCCCTTTGGCGTGCCGCGGCGGCAACCCTGCAGACGTGGCAGGCGTATCAACATTTCTGAGGAGAAAAAAAAATCGAGCCGGATTCGACGACACGCCTGCTGCAGAGTCAATCTGGCCATGGACAGCCAAGTTGCGCTCGGAGCGCTTGGGAAAGACACTCGCGCAGCGGCGTCATCAACAAGGAGCTTCGCGGGAACCTGCCGGCTCATCTTTGTCGCGAAAGCATGCGAAAACTACCTGGACCTGCTCTACTTCACCTCTGTGGAACTAGTCTTAAAGGGCCTGAGATTGTCTTGTTCAGTTGTTCAGCGGTGCCTGATCGGTCATGCTGAGCCGTGCTTTCGTCTTCGACTTACCTCTCAAACTTGCAGGCGCCTTGAGCTGCATAGAAAAAGAGGAGAGCCCTTCCTCCTGCGCGCTTCGGTCTGCATGGCAGCGGAGCCTCGGTGACGGCCAGGCTTCAGCAGCTCGTTTCTCACGGCGGTGCCTCGCCGAGTTTTTCGATTACCCGATTCGGGAGTATATCCTTTTGTCTTTCAAGGACCGCGACCTCGTGATCTGCACGCTGGTGGCCGCTTTTGGGCCAAAGCTGGGCAACGGCTTCCTTGGCCTAAACCTTTACCAACACTTCGAGCTGGGTGTTTTCCTGTGCTGCGAGAGAGCAGCAAAGTTTTGTCTGAATGCCGACCCCGCCGTCGGAAGAACAACCGTTGGGTGTTGGCGAGCAGGCCGTTCCGAGCCAGCTTGGTGCAGCATCCCCGCGAGGTGTGGCGTCCCCAGTGCTTCCGAGGAGAAATGGTTCCCCTCGGGCTGCTGCAGATGGCGCTGCAACAGCAGCCGATGGCTCTCGGAAGTTTGTGGACTTTAGGATGGAAGCAGCTCCGTCGTGGGACGGAGAGATGCCAGAAACCAAGTTTCGGGAGTACAGCCGGAACCTGCGACTGTGGTTGGTGGAGGCAAGAGAACGACTTCCTGGCTCCTTGATAGGGAAGAGGATTCTCGATGGGATCCCGTTCGGGAGCCGACTTGCAGCTCTCCTCGCTCATTTGAGCGTGGAGGAGATCACTCACGAGAAGGGTTTCGAGACGATCGTGAAGATCATCGAGGATGCTCATGATTATCTTCGAGATGCAAAGCTGGAGCAGACTTTCGAGATGGCCATCTTCAAGGGTCGCCGTCGGCCAGACCAAACCCTGAGCGGATTCGTTGCGACCAAGAAAGCTGCCTTTGGAGAGCTGAAGCGGCAAGGCCTGGACTTGCTAAGCAGCTCAGCTGGCAGTCATTTGTTGGGTCATCTCTTGCTTCGACAGGGAGGTTTCAGCGAAGACCAACATCAAAGGATAAAGGTCTTGACGGATGGCTCCATCGACTTTCCCAAGGTGGAGAAGGCCATCCGTAAGTTTTTCGGCGAGACCGTGGATGACGCGGCTGCCGTGCCGCCTCGCAACCGAGCTTACTGGCAAGAAGGCGAGGACGAGGACCACGATGACGAGGACCCCGGCTCCTACGGCGACCAGGTCTTCTATGGCGACCAGGGCTACGGCGACGAGCTTGACGTCTTCGAGGACTTGCTGGAAGCCGATGAGAGTGGCTCGGTTTTCCTTTGCCTTGATGAACCTTTGCCTGCGATGCTGGACGAGGACGAGGCCATTGCTTACTCGGGGGAGCTCCTTTCCTTCGTTTACGGCGAGGTCTCGGACAGATGGCAAAAAGGCAAGGGCAAAGGCAAGAAGGGCAAGGGAAAAGGGAAGCCGAAAGGCAAAGACCGAGGACCCAGTGGAAAGGGGTTCGGCATCTACGGCACTTACGCGGACCATCGTCGTGCTCTTCAAGATGCCCGGACGAGCCGAGGGTTTGGTAATGGAAAGGGGCACCACCACGGTGCTCAGAGACCTCGTACCTCAATCCAGGAGATCCAGCTTGGACATTGGTCCAAGGACTGTCCCCAGAAGAGACGGGTCCCTGTCCCTCAAGGACCTCGACCTCCAGGTGGACAAGCAGCAGCAGGACCGCGACCGCAGCCCGGGTCTGAGGACCGACGAATCGGGCAACAACTTCTTTAGCGCCTCGGCCTCCGATTTGGAGAAAGGTTTCACTGGATTTTCCGTGGACAGCGAACCCAAGGGTGTGGTCCCGGCGCAAGTGACGCCGGTGGACAACCATTCCGATGGAGAGCACTCTGCGATCGAGCGGGAATACATGTCTGCGTTCCTGTCTTACACGTATGCTAGCAGCAACTCTGATGCCTCGGGAACAGCCTTAATTGACACGGCAGCTCAGCATGGCTTGATTGGCCGTGACACCTTGGCTAGGCACGACGAGTATTTGCAGCAGCGTTTTCGTCTTCGAGTACAGTACTCTCAGATGAGCAGGGTGGTACCGTACGGGGAGTTTGTGGCTCTGAGGAGGTAACCCAGGTGGCGTACATTCCCATAGGTATCGGGGGTCGTGGAGGCATACTTCGGGTCCAAGTTGTCCCTGAAGGGGTTCCTTGCTTGATCCCAGCTTACTTCCTTGACTCCCTGGGTGCTGTGATCGACATGTCAAACCTGTTGATTGCATACACTGCCGTGTCCGCTGTCCAGAGCATGTCCAGACGTAGTTCAGGCCACGTGGAGGTGACGTTGTGCGAGTTTGGTGAAGGATGGTTTGTGCCCGCATCATATGACTTTCTCAAGAGTGAGATCTGGAAGGTGAAAGGACCGTTCCTGAAGCCATCCCCCGAACTCTTCGTTTCCATCGTTGATGGAAGGCAACAAGAAGTCAAGATGCCTCCGACGTTGGCGACGCTGTGTTCTGCGCTGGTTCTTTGTGCTGTGCACTCAGGCGCGCGCAGCACTGGAGGGCATCACGATGCAGCCTCAGTTGAGGCGTGTGAGACGTTTGGCTCTGCAGAGGGAGGCCTTGCAAAAGAAAGCAACAACGAGAGCAAGCACTCCTAGCAGAAGCCGGTGCCCAAGCGACTCTTCGTCCCGGTCGTCGTCTACTACCAGAGGAACATGGAGACCAGCAGCGCCCGCTGGTGGAACACCGGGGACGACACGCAGCACGGGTGCAATTCGGAATGGGCGTGGACGAAGTGTCTTCGATGTGGTATGGTGGAGCAAGTGCCCAAGATGGAGCTCCACAAGATGAGCGAGTGGAACCAGGTGTTGGCGTTCCAGAAGCCCGACTACCGCACGCCAACCGAGAAGAAGCGGGACAATGCCTCGGAGAAAGAGAAGAAGAAGGAACCAGCCACGCCGGCCCCTCCTACCGGGATGAGCTCGAGGATTCCACCTGTGCCTTTGGGACCCCTGTCCCAATCGTCGATGACAACACCACGGTCGGG